CCGGGGTGTTGTGGGAGGACTTCGCTCTGTGAACTAGACAGAAGAAGGCACCTTTTTGGTCACGAGATGGTTCGCCATCCGCTGCCGCAGCAGTTGCTCTCCTCAGGTCGCTGTCCCGCCCTGCGCGGGAACAGAAGGGGGCATGCCTCGTGTTCTCGATACCCTCCCCACACGTACCATTTGATCCTGGGGGGGGGGGGGGGGGGGGGGTGTACTCATCAAACGTGCCTCAATACCCGACACCACGACCGTTCGATCAAAGAAAGACACGCCCCAGGGAAAACTAACTTCAATGAGCGGCCGTGCATATTTAGCACGATGTTTGAAAAAAACTTAACAGGTTGAAACGAATACTAGCGTACTTGCAGCAGATGACATGCAAATAGAGCAGAAAACGAACCAAACAAACGTGATTGTCGTGTAATTTTTGTTTGAAACCTAAGAACCAGCCCAACAGCGTCCGGTACATACGTGTAATTTGCGAGGGTGACGGCATTGAGAGCGGGGATCCGAGGGAAAATAGCGAGAGCTTACCAATTCAACGACATCGGCATCGCTGTTTGCCGCAGTGTCGAGGTCGAGTGGGGTCGCCTGTGCGGGAAAATCCATCGCGGACACCAGCGTGGCCGGGTCGCACGTCCCGAGCGCACTTGTGGCAGTGCAATGAGTCGAGTACGGAAAGAGGGCCGTGCCGCTGTTGTAGTCCTGCAAACAGAACAAATAAGAACAAATAAACGCGCCCAAGAAATCCAGCAATAATCAGTTTCGGTGTGCGTTTGGCAGGGTTTGACATCAGATTGCGAACACAGCCGCAGAAACAACATCTTGCCCATAAAGGGGTGGATGTCAACAAGGTACTTTGAAGTAAATATCTCCCCGTGCTCGCTTTCGAGGAAGGTAGACGAAATATTCGTTCATCAGTAGTGGGGGGGACGGGTCCGGAATTAGCGAAGCACTGGGTGGGTGGCATGCGGGCATGGTCACCGCGGCACGTTTGCTTAACCCAGAAGATGTTTTCGTGTTTCTTGGTTTCCCTCTTTGGTCAATCAGGCATCGCGCTCGATGCTGTCAAGAAAAAAATACGGCAAAATACAAGCACTACGCACGCGCGCTCAGAGACACGGGTGCTTCACAAACACTCACCGCTGGCGTGAGCAGAACAGCAGGCTCATTGTACGTGCCCGCGGTCTTCAGGATCAGGATGCCGATGAGCACGAAGAAGGCCGGCATGAGCACGACGAACGCCCACATCTTCTTGTCGCGCTTGAAGGTAAGGAGGCGCTTCTTCAGAAGGGCTATCATGTGCCTGCCGAAGAGGGGCTTGGACCGGTCGATGCCCGAGCCCTCCCCCTTGCCGCTACCGATGTTGCCGCCGATCTAGATGGCGTGGTATTTTTTTTCAACGTGGTCGTAAGGTATCCCAAAACATGCCCAGGAGGCGGAAGAATGGTTGGGGAGTTGCTCTTGGGGAGGTATATGTGGGTGAATCGTGCCTTGGTTCCCCATGGTCACATATGTGGCGATGGTCTGAGCGCTTGGTCCGGTATATGCGTGCAGGAGAAGTAACGAGGACCTTGAATTTCGATTAGTAAGTGCAGTTACCATCTTAGGGTGAACCTACCGCTATGGGCAAACACCCAAGGTAACCGCGGTGGAGAACCAGCGGCCGATCACAGCGGATCGGTGGTTGGGATTAAATTGAACGGGATACCTTGGCGGTCTCGGCCTTCATGGCGGTAGAAGAGTGGCTGCTCTGGCGCTTCAAGGCGATGCCGGCTATCTCCTTGCGGGACGCGACATCGGCGGTGCCGTTGGCCACCCGCAAGAACACTTCCTCCAGGGTGGTCACGCTCAAGCCGTAGCTGAACGGAAAGGGAGGGTGGTCAGACAAAACAAATTAGCACTGTTTGAAACACTAGATTAGGGTGAAAGAAACAGTGGTACACGACGATGGATACACAAAGCGACCCTCCGGGGTCTCTGCATGCTGTAGAATCCAACCAACCCCCTCACCTGTTGACGCCGAGCTCGGTCTTCCGCGAGTCTATCTCCGTGAGCATGTCCTGGAACGAGGACGAGGCGTCGTTGGGCAGCTGGAACGACACTTCGGCGCCCACGTTGCTGAGGAGGGTGGCCTCCTTCACGTGCGACCGCACCAGGTGCTTGATTGGCTTCACTCCTTGCTCCTGTTTCGACGAAACAACAAGAGGAATTGATAGTAAGGAGGTGAACACTTTTTTATGCTGCTGTCGCCGACTGAAAGGAATGAAAGTTTGTTGTCGAAGACCGCATGAACTGTAGTTTATAGTGCACGGAAGAATTCGGAACATCTCCCAGATCTACTTATGTATTCGGGCTCTTGTTGTGCCGCCCTGGACGCGTGTTGGTTGGGTTGTCTTGGTTTGGTTTTCTGGGGTCTTACAAAGAGAAAGGTCTCACGGAGTTCTCATTCTTCTGCCTCACTTCTCCTGCAGCAAGAGTTTGATAGACGCGTGTCCACTGGACCAAGGGCCACGTGTTGAGGAATGCACAGCGTGTATCAGCCCGCGTCGGAGTCACGCGGGAAGGAGGGCAGCATCTAGCTACATCAGAGTTTGGAGCTGACGTTTATTGTGAAACGGAAGAGCAACACAGACGTAACTTTCGTTGATGGGATCGAATCCAATCAGCACATCTTTCGTTCGTCAGATAGGCGAGGGTGCTTCAGTCGCCTACTGTGCAGTCTAGCAGGGCCGCCCATCGTACGAGCAAAGCCCTCCCAAAACCCTGTTCCCCGCGTTATCCCTAACCTAGACCAACAACCCTGTTCAAGCCTAGTCGAACCCAGATTTTATACTTTATGATTATCCCCCGACGCTCTACGCAATACAACTGTTGCGTTCATCGCACTCATGCACTCAAACTTGTTTCTGCCTTGCCCCGCCGCACAGCACAATGTTGTACAAGCTGAAAACTAAAGCCCCAATGTTATACACATTGAAAAAGCTAAAACCTTAACCAATGCCCTACACGCTTTGCACCTAACCCTGAGCATGTAACGAACCTGCGTCGCCGTGGTGTTGACGCCCTGCTCATTGTCGTTTTCCTCCTCCGAGGATATGGCAGCGGCGGTGGGGTCGGCGGCGGCGGTGTCTGCCCCTTGGATGTCGCGTACGATCGTGAGGTTGTACCTGTGCGGTTGGGATGGCGCGGGATGGGTTCAGGGTTACGGACACGGCGGAAGGAAGCTGTCAAGGAAGAGTGAACTCCTACGGTGAAGTAGAGACACAACAGTACTTGAGAGACATGCTGCGGCGCATCTGAAAGTAGGACGCTCAGCACGTGAGAAGGAAAGGTCCAGGAGGGAAAATCGCATCATCTGTGGATATGTAGAGACGGAATCATTGTGATATATTTCAGAAAAAAATGAAAAAAAAGTCAAGAAATCAACAGCCTCGACCGACCACGCCCGTACTATCAAACACTAGTGGCGAACAATCTGGCTTACCCGACGCCGTAGTGGTTCTTGAGGAAGATGGAGCTGCCGCAGCACCGGAGCGCGCCGTCGGCCATGATGGCCACGCGGTCGCCCAGCAGGTCCGCCTCGTCCATGAAGTGGGTGGTGAGGACGATCACGCGGCCCTCCCGGTTCTTGCGGATCAGGTCCCACGTGAAGCGTCGGCTGCGTGTGTTGGGTGTGGCGGGGACGGTGTGTTGCGTTAATGACTACAGTCAAGGCGCGTGTGTGTTCGGTTCTTGACAGCGTTGAAACTAGAGCTAGAATATTGTCGATTTCTAGTGTGATGGTACATGGTCGGCATGCCGCCACGACATGGGCCGTCGCACACCACGCATACACGGGACATCGAAGAACACCCGCCCGGCCACTTCTCCCGACACCCTCTCACCCCAGCGGTAGCCGACCACCCAATCAGATCACGCCGAAAGTTCACCTGTGAGGGTCCATCCCCGACGTAGGCTCGTCCAAGAAGACCACCTTAGACCCGCCGATCAGGGCGATGCCCACGGACAATTTGCGCTTTTGCCCGCCGGACAGAGTCGTGGTCAGCTCGTTCTCCTTCTCAGTCAGGCCGACGTCGTTCAGCGTGGCCTTTGTTTCACGCGGGGGTGGGATGCAGGCGGAGCGGACGGGAGATGGCGCGAGGGAGGGCGGGGTGTGCGCGAGGTAGAGCCGAGCGAGCTTGACATCGACAACAAAGACGACCCTCAACCGTACAAGTATGTCGCCACTCGATTCCCATCTGTGGTAGAATATCATAGGTGCGTGTGAGCCAGTGGCGGACCCGTGTTTACGCATACTAAGGGTATGAATGAAACGACGATTTCCACGAACCGTCGGAATTCGGCTTTCACTGATTGCTCGCAAAGATAGGCCGGCAGATCCTCTTTTGTTGAGGCACCACCCTACCCACTCCCTTGTTGACCTGTATCTTTTCCAACATCACACGAAAGAAAGCCTGCATGCCCTCGATGGCGGGTAATTATTATCACGGCCGCGGCACCCTTTGTCTACGTCGTCTACAGAAAGGGCCTGAAGCGTTGGTTGTTGGCGCCTTCAAAGCGACCAAATGCCTCATACTACCTGACCGTGGTGCCGGATGGACTCTTGTCGTGACGGCGATAATTTTTTCCCAATCGATGACGACCGCCCTGAGCCAGAATAGTCCCTAAGACAACCGTTCTTGTGATTGTCTCACCGTGATCGTTTGCTGCAGACGCGCGCGGGGCACGGACTTCAGCACCGCGTACATGCGCAGGTGCTCCCTCACGGTCAGGTCCGGGTACAGGATGTCGTGCTGAGGGCACACGCCCAGGGAGCGCCGGATGTTCGCCATATCGGCGATCACGTCGCGACCAGCCACGAAGGCGCTCCCCGAAGTTACCGGGATCATACCCGTCAACATGCCGATTGTGGTCGTCTATCGAACGTAAGCAAGGCACAACACACAGATCACACAGGGATAAAACACAACACAAGTGCAAAAAAAAGAAAACGAAGGAGGAATCACGAGAGGGTTATTCGGTTAAGGATTCGCTAGGTGCGGACGTAAGGAGAGTTTCGCGAAAGCAACGCCAGGCACAGTGCCCTTGAGCAAGCTACAACAAAAAGTAACAAGCCCAAACGTACCGACGACAGCCAGCAATTCCACAGTGGGTTTTCAGGCTATCCTGCCCTCACATGTTGGGAATATAGGCACAAAGTATAATGTTCACCTTTCCCGCGCCGTTGTGGCCGAGAAGAGCTGTGATCTGCCCGGAGTACATGGTGAGGTCCAGGTTGTCTACGGCCAGCTTCGAGCCCCCTGTAGAGTTCTTGTACTCCTTGGCCAGCCCTTTTCGCGTGAAAAATTTGCGATGGGCGTCGCTTCAACTTCCCGCGGATACACCTCGCTTGGATCGCGAATATGGTGTTGTGGGCGGCGACAGTGATGACCGTCTACAATCGCTGATACCCCCTCGGGCACCACTACCAACTACAACCACAACCACGCCGACCACAACACAGCTAATTCTCCCAAAAGAGACAACTCACCGCGTATGGCGACGCACTCTCCGGCAGCCACCTGCATCCGGAGCTCGTCGTCGACGGGCTCCACGGAGACCTTCCCCTCGCTCTCGTCAGTCTGCAGCAACTCCAACTTGTCCGACAGAGCAGACTTTGCGCTGGTACCGGGAAACCAATGTCTTGCGGTCAAGAAAAACCAAGGCTTCTTGGCCGTGCCCCACTCGGACGGCATGACCTGTTTCGTTAGAGTTTTAGTTTTCGCGTAGGTCAGGAGGGCCCAAAAATGTTTGCAACTTTTGTGTCGAGGTGTGGGTGGCCGGGACTTGAAGAAAGAAGACGCGGAGTGTGTGAGTACGGTCCACGTGCAGCCGCACCCGAGCAGGCAGCAATGAGTCGGTCACGTTAGGCTTCATAAAGACGATTGAACAATGGAAGAACAATGAGGGAGTTGAAAGCCATGATTTTTCGTACATGCTGTTTGGCACAACGGGGGTACAGCTTACGGCAGAAAATATGACCGAATGTTCGCAAAGTTATCCTCTAGAGCTCGGGTCTCCAGAAGATACGTGACCTTGCAAGGGTTACTTTCAAACATTACATCCAAAAAACAGTGGAAGGGCTCCACGTACATGCCTCGAGGAAATTCGATGGCGAAGGAGTATCACTACCACTCACGTGTCCGGCGTACCATGCCAGGATGGAAAATACGAAAATGTCGAGGAACAGCATCCCGAGGACGTCGTTGAACGTGAAACCGTCCTCGCTCCGCCCCGCGGTGTCCGCAGTCACCCCCTGGACAAACATCAGGACGAGTCGTGATTGGCAACTCGTACAACGACACGCCGTCTCCTCGCTGTCCCGAAGAAATCGATATTGGCTGCAGCCTAGAGCATGTGTGTTTGCCAATTCACTGGTGGAAAGCGAGACGACCGTCTCCGCTACCAAGATGACCCGCAGCCATGTCTCCTATCATTCTGTACCCTGCGGGTTAGCACTAAAAATGGAAGGCTGGAGAATGGACGGGATCTCCCACCCGTTAGGAAGCATTGCGAACCAGCAAGCGTGAACCTCCGCACATGGCGTGCTTCACCTACATCCCAAACGCCTAGATGCAGAGGGCGTCGATGCGTGTAGGTGCATCACCAACATCACCCCACACAAGGGTCCTCTCCAGTTTAGGGGATTTTGCCGACGTCCGTTTTCTACTGCAGTGAACGGTTCCATCCCCCCCCGCCCCCCAACCCGGCGTGCTCCGTCCCGGCTTTGTAGGGATGCGAGGTCAATGGTCTAACGACTACGGCATGCACGACTATGAGTACACCCCTCCCCCCGCCATCTTGTGGTGAGATAACCGTAAAACAATACCGGTTCCCATTCGGCGGTGGGAATCTGGTCAGGCACTATCCTAAATTCTCCGCAAGGAGAGGGGTGGATAATGCAAGACAAAATGTCAGACCTAACATACTCAAGAACCTTGTTTTCAATTGACCGACCAAATGACCCAAAAGAGAAGGAGCACCAAGCGGTACGTAGATATCTTGAAGCTTGAAGGATAGACGCCGGTACAAAGTGTGGGGGGATTGTTGGTCAAGCTTTCGGCAGCGAAGGTCTACTCGGGAGCGTTAGTGGGGTAGCTACCCATGGTGTACCGTACAAACGTTGATGACCGTAACTCATTTATCAACCCTGGGTCGACTTAGACCGCCATCAGGGAAGATAGTGCTCTCTGGCGTCTACGAGGAGGAGATTTTTATGTTTGTATGTCATAAAAATCAAGGAAGAGACGGACATCCCGATGTGTGAGTGAGACCTTCTGTTATGCAAGCCACCCTTGAACCATACATGGGGAAAATGGCCTCCCCGGAGGAAAGTACCCAGTACAGCAGCTGGGGCAAGTTGAGAGAAGAAACGGTCGTGGGACGCTTGGGTTGGTTACCATGCAGATCGCCTGGCACAAACTTGGGGTACTTGTGCTAAGGGTGTTGAACTTGGCTCAAGGCTATGAGCCCGTGTTGGAGGCACTTTTTAGTGTCGGTGAGCCGGCAAAAGAATTGAAAGACACCAGACCCTCAACAAGTACTAGGATTGGGAAGTCCCAGTAATTTGAAAGCATCCCACTTCAAACACAAAGAACGAGATAGTCTCGAAAGAGATAGGGAGGGAGACGACGAGGCACAAAGGGTGGAGAAGGAGAGAATGGAAAGGTGCAGTACTGGTAGTGTTGATATTTGGGGTCAATAGCGACATGACAAGGTTGGAGTTCAAAAGTAGATGTGAAGAAGTAGGATTATATTGCTTCGCAAGGGGGGGGGTAGAAAGGGAAGGAAACCACTTTAGAATCACGTTTGGAAGGAGAGTAAGCGCAGAATGGGAAAGACTAGAAGTAAAGAAGATGTCGGCGTGGGTGAGGAGACTAGGTTGGAGGGTGTGCATAGCAAATAGGATCCAGGAAGTAAGGCGTAGCCCAAGGCTGGCTGAAAACAAAGGAGGGCAGGAGGCCCGAAAGGGTCAAAAGGGAAAGCAAGCCAAAGTAGGAGAAGGGGGGGGCAGCGATAGGATAAGGCAGAAGGGAAGGCAAATGAGGGACAAAAGGAATCCTGAAAGGCACAGGAAAGTAGAAAGTAGGAGTAAGGAAATCATAATAGGGTCTTGGAATGTATGCGGATTTGCCACAGATGAGCGTAAAAGACTCGAAATTGCCGAGCAAGCGGCCGAAAAAGACCTGGACATAGTCGAAGTCCAAGAGTCGTGGGAGAAGGACGGGGGAGAAATAGGAAAAGAAGTGGGAAGCTACACATGGATAGGTAAAATGAGGAGAGGACAGAAAATCAAGAGTAGAGGGGAGGGGGGAGTTGGATTCTTTGTCAAGGAGCACATGTGCGACATAATTGAGGTGATCAGCGACACCAAATTCAACGAAAGCATGTGGATAAGGGTACCAGGGGAACGGGGAAGAAAGGACTTGTTCGTAGGAAATGTATATATGCCACCAGAGTCGAAGAATATGGTGAAAGACATCAGGATAGGGTTCGAGGAGGTAGCAGCGGATGTACAAAACTTCAAGAGAAAGGGAGAAGTAGTTCTAGTTGGGGACTTCAATTCAAGAATCGGGCGAACCACGAACCCACACGGAACCATAGGGCAATACGGGGAGGGAGCCACGAACAAAAACGGGGAAGAAATGCTGAGGTTCCTTGACAGTAGCGAGATGAAGGTGTTGAACGGTAGAGTACGAAAGACAGAACCGGAATGGACTAGGCAATGTTTCAAAAAAAGAGAACGCTCCATCCTTGACTATATAGTCGTAGAGAATGGGGGGAAAGAGACGGAAGTACGAGTATGCACAACGGATGTAGGCACTACAGACCACGCGTTGGTGTGGACAGCCCTACAACAGAAGAGAGTCATACAGAGTAGGCGGCGCAGGAAAATGTACAGATGGAGAATAGATAAGCTAGAAGTAAAAGAAACGAGAGTAGAGTTCCAAGAAGAGATGGCTATAAACGACAAGAAACTCTCGGAGTTGATAGAGGCAATGGGTACACCGAAGGATGCCG